TATCGAAATCATTAAGAAGCTTATCGGTTTATGGTTATCCAAAAACCGATAAACCTCTTACTGGTTTTGGTTTTTGTGAATATGCCTAATTTGGTTTTTTGGTTTCCTTGTTAATGGTTTGGTTTTGGTTATCCAAATTGACAGCCCTGTATCCATCAACCACTAAAACCCTAGTTTTGTTCAAATTATCAGTGGATCATTCCTCCTCCGTACGACAACCCATTTTTCATATCCATCCACGGCCAGCTAGCTACCTCCATAGACATATATGTAGCTATTTAATTAGTGAGACGTTCATGCATGCAACTAACCATATATTTATGCCTAGACCTGCAGCCACCTTAATTAATCAAGGCCAGGCGCTAATTAAGCTAGCAAGTAGCATAATATATATACTGTATATATGTTTTGCGAGACATAGACAGCAGTCCACAGCAAAGCAATAAGTAGGTACAAAAGTTGAAACAGCAAAGCTTCGGGATCGGGAATGGTACTACTGCTTCTTCTTCTTCTTCTGTAACGTTCTGTCAAATTACAGTACTCCAAAGCAAGTGAAAAAAAGCTGCTGGGATACAGTTACTATAATTACTGCACGATAATGAAGAACAGAAAGTGGTGGTGGCCATGTACGTATATATATATTAGCTGCTAGGCATCACCGATCGATCACGACCATATGCATGTATCCAGAAGCTTCAAACAATGAAATGAAGTATGAAATATGAAAAAGAAAACTAACTGTAAATTATTCTGTACAGAACAATAGAAGGGGTAAGTCTGCAGTCTGCAGGCAGTCGTGCTTTACTGAAAGGAATCTTGTTTTTGTCCCTTTTTTTTAACCCCTCCCACATAATAATCACTGTCCATGCACCTGCTGGATCACTGTATATACAGTAAACTGGACTTTCTGTTTTGTAAAGGGAACAGTAAATTTTTTTGGATTGACAATTTTGTTCTTGAATTCTAAAAATCCTCTTGAATATCTATAAGATTTCTTAATAAAAGTGACATGGTGACTTCAAGGAAACTTTGGTTGACGGATGGCTATTTCACATATGATACGGTAAATATTGTTATTCTCGCGCTACCACTAAATTAAACCGATTCGTCGAAATCTTTTTTTGACTACCATATATGAAGTTTACAAATTAAACGAATGCATAATTTGAGATTCAAATATAAATTTGGCTATGCCAATGGTTCATCACCTTATCTTTAAATATAAAAATATGATATAATAATGCACCTTTAAAATTATGGTATACACAAACTACTATTTCTGTATATATTATGCATATATATAGGTAATAGTAGAAATTTAAGGTATATTTGATTTGATGTAAGAGAGGAGGAAAAAGGGTAATTGAAGTGTGAACAAAAGAGATGGAAAGGGCATATATTTCAAAAAAACAAAACAAAAAACTTTGTGATTTTACTACACATGTATATAAAAATGTCTATATGTATGTATGAGAGGTTGAATGCAGGGCACATTTAGGTGTACTATTGGTTTTTTGTTTTTGGTTTTGTGGCCACTCTGATCTACACGTACCCTGTGTTCGTTCGTATATATGTTTTTTTTTCTTTTGGGCGCAGACGACAGAAGGAGGGTAGTTGGGGAAATTAAAATGATGGGTGATACCCCAATTTTGGATCCATTTGGGAAGAGAAAGAGATCACCATTCATTCATTCATTCACCCAGCTAGCCAGTAGCCCAGTAGCAGCAGCATGCAGTAACAATAATAATGTTCATTGTCCCAAACATCATAAATACACACACACACCTATAGAGAAAGAGAGAGAGAGGAGTGAACCGCACTTCCATGCAGAAACCTTTCTAGTAATTACTGGCCGGGCATCTGCATTTTAAAACCCAACCTCATGTGACCCCATGCACCGGCCACCCGCAGCCTTTCAAACCATGAATGTGGAATGTGGTGTAGATTGAATCATATCAGATCGAGTTTTGTAGATGAAGAGTGTTAGACCGGAACGAGAAATCGACAATGCAATTGATTCTACATATAAGAACACCCCTATAATTTTCAGTCGATGACGGCAAATAATTCGTTTTCAAGTCAGAGCAACAGAACGGATCTAACTTGTAAGGTAGGGATTTGTTAGTCCGAACCATCGTGTGTAGAGGTGGCAAACGGATTGACCATGGATTGGTGGATCCATGGATCAAATGGATTGGTGGATTCATGGATTGGATCAAGTGGATTGGTGGAATATCCATGAATCTAAATGACATTCTCAACCAAAGACCAATATGTAAAATGTGAAAAGTTTAGGTACTAAAATGGCATAATGAAAATTTTAGGTACCAAAACGTAATTTTCAAATGATATTTTTTGTATTAAATTTTGGGGTATCAAAATGTAAAATATAAATAGTATAAGTACCAAACCGTAATTTGTCATTTGGATCAAATGGATTAATTGGATTTAAATGGATTGGATTAGGTGGATATTTTTAATGGATTGGTGGATTGGATTGAGAATTGCCACCTCTAATCGTGTGCGATAATAATGATGAAAAAGAGGAGCTTTAATTCGCAGGATTCGGCTGGCATATGAGCTATAGCTTGTGATGTGCTCTGCACTTCATTAAGCATCCATGAATAATTAGATCATAATTATAATTAGATCATAATTCGCACATCATGGTGGCTAGCTATATAGAGGCAAACGGAAATGGCTTAGCTTTGTGTAGGCCTTGATAATTACGGTATGATTATTTTTACTGATACGTGCATGTTAATTTACAGTATATTGGAAAAAAGAACTGATGAACTAGCTAGCTAGCTAGCTAGCTAAGGCGATTTGTATTATATTTGGGGGAAAATATTGAGAGACAAGTTGCAGAAATCTGCATGCGGGGCAGTACACTCCCGTCGTCGTCAACCTGACCATGCCCTATTAACTCCTCTTCCTCTGCAGGGCTAGCTTCTTCTCCATTTCTCTCTCGCCCACTTCCTTTCCGGCCAGTTGCTGCAACCACCATAAATTCTCCCTTCAAAACCACACCTTTATAATAATAATATATATATCGTACGTAGACTTTGTCTTTTTATACTTATACAAAAAGAAGAAGTAAAGACATGTTTAATATGCTAGGGTTTTGTAATTGTGTAAATGGCCGGCGGCCGAAGGGATATAGGCAGGCAGGCAGCTAGGTTAGACGATACCCACCGGCACTGCAACTTTTAATATTGCGGCACTCTGCGGCAGTAACTTCACCACCATGAGAGCAGCATTTAAGGAAAGATTCTTTCTCCCCCAAACCCTTCTCTGCCTTGTATTTTTTTCAAACGGCATATTTTCCGCCCCTTATTAATTTTGCATCGATCTGGCTGGCCATTTTGTATAGTTTTAACGCGCACCATGCATTTTTCACTGACATATTCACTCTTTCCCAGCACAGCAATAACACCTTCGTTCAATGATATATCTCAAGCTTCCAATCACTAGTTTACTTTTCTCCAGTTTGTACTTGCGCGCTGCATGGTGAAGCAGTATTATTTAAGCTTTTAACCATCGAGATCTGTGAGCAAAAACATACATACATTCTTGCCTGCCTGTGTTCCAACAGTGCTATAACAGCAACTTAGATGCATATTTGTATTGGTAAGCAGTATAACACATTAGGATATTGATTTAGAAGAGTCGAGTCCATTTGGGCGGCCGAATTAATGACGGAGCAGGCGGAGTGGTGCCATAATATAGGCCACTCCCATCAACCTCACCATTCTTTCACCTCTGCCCTACTTTTTACTGCAACCAATCTCTGGGGAAAAGGGTCTATCAGACTATATATCACTCAACTAGTTTTTATCCCGCCCCAAATCTACAGTTTCCCGTAAATATATAACATTATAAAATCACCACCTCCCATTCATCAGCAGATTCATAGTTACCAGCTGCTGTTACTGCACTACTAAAAGGGACTGGTTACGGTGTTAATTGTACAAGAGTTAGCACCGTCCTAACCAAGGGTTAGTAGTGATTTAGCTTAGATGTTGTATTGATTTCATAATAATCCATAGTGATTTCGTTGTTTTTAGTAGCGTTTTTTGCTAGTTATCACGGTGCTAACCCCCTATAAGGGTTAGCACCTAATCCCATCCCCTACTAAAACTACTATTTGTAGTCGATCGCCAGTATAGAATTCATAACTAAATCTATCCAAATTAATTATTCGAATTATTGTGATCAAATAGTTCGTTACTATGGTATCATAGTCTTCTTTCACACACAAAAAAAAATTATATTCGAATCTCAATGATCCATATCTATATATTCTGCTAAGCACGTGGTATTCAGACCTGTGCAAAGTTCAAACCTATATATATGATGGCTTTTGTTAGAGGGGTTGTATTAGTATATGTTGTATATAAATCAACAATTGAAACTCTCCCCACAACCGAAGTTATTGGAATCAACTGGTTCTTGATACAAGAGAGAGACAATGATTCCCTCGAAGTCTCTGATTAAGTTGGCCAATTTTCTCTCCCACCTCTCCCCCTGCCGTAATATCCAGAATCCATGAATTCAGGCAGCCAACGATAGAAATCAGCCTATACATCCTTCTTCTTCTTCTGTCACAAACCAACTGGTCTCGTTATAACTCTAGTTATTAAAGAAGGTTCAAGTGTGGATGTTAATCACTTCCTTATACACTTCCTAAACGAAAGTCAACTAATAGAATTAAATTTTGTACATGCTCTACATACCACATGGTTTAAGACAACAATTAATATCGAGAACCACTAAGCCTTTGAACACACACGAGCTTAATAACATGATACCATGTTCGCAAGACTAATATTATGAATCTGAATACCACTTACTAAACAAACATGACGGGAAACGGCGAAACGTTTGCTTGATGGTGACAGTGTAGTCCCTTTCGCACACCCTCCCGGCCACTCCCGTATTTAATCACAGTCTTTCCCCTTCCCTTTTGTTTCATCATTCTTCATCTTCTCCCTTACTCCCTTTTTCCTCTCAACATCTTCATCCTTACTATCTCGCCGGCCGCCTTTCCCTTTCTCCTCCCACTCCACTTTAACCTCTTCCACCACTTTCCTCCTTCATGACGAGCATGTCCGATCTCCTTGGAACCCCGGGCTTCGGCTACAACAACTACAACCCACTAGAGGGCAACGAACTCTTCGCCATCTTCGAGTCCCTCGACCGTCGCGGCGGTGGCACCACCACCACCACCATCCCCAACTTCCCAGCTTCCTTCGAACCGGCTGCTACAACTCCTGCTGCAGGTGCTGCAGCAGCAGTCAGCTCGAGAGATCGACGAGCCACGTTGACTTCGCAGAAGTCAACTTCCTCCTCGGCTGCTGCTCCGAGAGAATTCTCGGAGCAGATGGTCGAGGTCGAACCCAGGAGCAAGAGACAGAAAACCATGGCCCCCATCGCCGTCGAGGTATGGAATCAGGAGGACGAGCTAGGCAGCCCTACCGACGGGCTGAACAAGATGTCTCACATCACCGTGGAGCGCAACCGGAGGAAGCAGATGAACGAGCATCTGGCCGTGCTGAGGTCCCTCATGCCTTGCTTCTACGTCAAGCGGGTAAGTTAATTTTTTTCGGTTCGACATTAGAAGTATATTAATTTTTTTCAATAACCGAATACTTTTGTCTGTACATACTGCATATTTGATTCCATCCATAAATCGATTTTTTTCCCTATGAATTATAGTCTCAATAAGATTGCTAGTGTGATATAGGTTTTTTTTAAAGTAAGGTACCAAGCCGGCCGGTAAGTTAATTAATTTATTATACAACGGAAAAACAAAAACTTAAGTTAAGTTAACAAATAGTGACGAGTAACATATTTCGTGGTTAATGATAGGGAGACCAAGCGTCGATTATAGGAGGAGTGGTGGACTACATCAGCGAGCTACAACAAATCCTCCAATCCTTGGAAGCCAAGAAGCAGCGCAAAGTAATCTACAGCGAAGTGCTGAGCCCTAGAATCGTCGCTAATAGTCCCCGGCCGTCGCCATTGAGCCCGCGGAAGCCGCCCATCAGCCCGAGGATCATCAACAGCAACTTGCAGCCGATAAGCCCACGAACCCCGCAGCCCACCAGCCCCTACAAGCCCAGGCCGCCGTCGCTGCTCAGTAGTTCCACTACCAATGTACACAACAACTACATCTCGTCGGCTTCCGTCGAGCCGTCCCCAACGACGTCGTCCTCGTCCTCCTCCAACCTCATGATGGCTGGCGACGGGGTGAACAACAACAATAGCAACGAGTTGGTCGCTAATTCCAAGTCGCGGATTGCTGACGTGGAGGTGAAGTTCGCCGGCCCGAACCTCGTGTTGAAGACGGTTTCTCCGAGGATCCCGGGGCAGGCGGTGAAGATCATCTCGGCGCTCGAGGACCTCGCGCTCGAGATTCTCCATGTGAATCTCAACACCATCGATGAAACCATGCTCAACTCCTTCACCATCAAGGTAACGTTAAGGAAAAAAAAAAAAACTCGAATTAAAGCTTGATTCTGTTAATCTAGTCGCGAATTAAAATCTCGCGAATCATCGTACATATTTTGATACGGACCCTACAAATGGTCGATTTGAACGGTATAAATTTTGACGCGGAAACTTGAAAGTAATGGTCATGTAGTACTACAACGACGTGTACATTAAACATCACAACGGCAATGTAATTTTGTTGAGATGGAAGTTGATGGTTTTGTGACATGAGTGGTTGCATTGACTCCATTTTTATAAGTTTGAAAAGGACGGTTCAATTGGAGAATAGGCATTGTCTACTGTCTAGGGCAGCTTTAACTTAAATTCGAAACATTGTGCACGAAAACCCTTTAATGTGTTAGGTTTGATGCTTATATACATGGTCTAAGTTTTGATCTTTTGGTGGTTTTATAATGTTTGAACAGATTGGAATTGAATGCCAACTAAGTGCAGAGGAGCTTGCTCAACAGGTCCAACAGACATTCTGCTCCTAATATTATATATATAATTGCTCTAGCTGATCTCTCCCTTATCTCTCTCTAATGTAATGTATGGTTATGGATGCTTTCTGTCTAGTTGTCTGGTCGACAAGGATGTCTCCCAAACCTAACTACTTCCCTTCTTGTTTCTTAAATTTGGTTTTCTTATCCTTTTTCTTTGTAATTTGGCCTTCAATTATTGAGGTGTACAACCTAGTAATAAAAAAATGACTATGTATATGTCTAGGAAAGGGCATACTTATGGGCATCCCTAACAATTGTAATTTTTGGTAGGTGGAGGCATAAGTTTGTAGTGTACTAGGATAAACACATGGTACATGTAATGGTGCACCCTAAATCATGGACATTATTATTGCTTTTTTTATTTTCTGCCTTTGATAATGACGGTAATTAGTTCACTTGATGATGAGTGTTTGGCTATGTCCATCGATCTATGTCATCTAAACTTGAGCGCGCATGTCACACTGTCTCTTCTCATTTCATTGTGTGCGATAACTCAATATCGGACGAATTTTTTTTTTCAAATATAATACTTCACATTGATACATTTGAAAAGCATATCATTTTGATGAAGGCAAATAACATTTCATTACAAATACACATAACTATACGGTGTCTTACAGAGTAAACGTTGTGATCTTTTGTAATATTGGCTATTTTTTGAATTATTTAGGAGAATTTTGGTTGAGTTTGTACTTGTAAATTTTTCTCATAGGGTACAATTCTCACTAAGAAAAGTTAGGCCTGGCTACCTACTTATAAGCTACATAGAGGGTTCTTGAATTTGAGGATTTCTCATTTTACATATAAGAATTTATTATTTTAAGCATAAGAGTTGCATAAATAAAGCTCTATCCTATCCTTGGATATGTCATTTTACGTGTAGCACACTACTGACATTAAATTTTTTTCTTTCATGAAGAAGGCAATTCGGTTATTCATTTCTCACCATTTCTAGATAGGAGAACAGTTGAAATTAGGGAGGTCCTCCAAGGAGGTATGTATATACACATAGCTAGCAATTGTTTCCACATTTTTAGAAAAATAGTACTAAATTCGCAGTAGTCAAAACCCTAATAATGATAAAATGAGATGTGATATTGCATGTACAAACCCTAATTGGTATCACAGCATTAGGATTTAGGACATAAAGGTTGCTTCTCCCGGCACTAAAATTTTCCCCCTCACACTTTGTCCTTCACTTTCATTTCCTAGCCCCAATCATGGCTCACCATTGTGACCACTTTAGGGCTACCTCTCATATCTCAACAATCTTAGTAAAACTGATTCCGGCCTACTATGACTAAAAATAGGTAGTTTGGGTTCGGTTTTGCTCGTTAAAAAAAAAAAAATTGTACCGTGTTATCTAAGATTTTGCTAACAGTTTGGAATCATTTTGTATTTATCTGTTTCGATTCAAATCGATGTCACCTGTAATCGAGAGGGGCAGAACGGACAAAACCAATTTGGTTTCGGTTTAGAGCATCCACATTGGTATTGCATTCTCAATTGCAAAATGACATGACATAGGTGTTTGCAATTGCAAAACCAATTGCATTGATGTGGCTACCAATTGCATATTTGCAAGCTTGCAACAAATGCAATTCCATATGCAAGTCAAAAAAGCCTAAAAAAATGGGGATTTTTTATTTTATATTATTTCTTTTCTCTTTTACTTAATTTACTATAATTTAAACATAATATTTAATCACATTTGCAATTACAAGTTATTGCATTGATGTAGGTGAATGAAATGAATGTGATGTGGATTGCAAAAAATTTGAGTTGACAATAAAAAATACAAATGCAATTTCTTTTGCAATTGCGTTGATGGAGATGCTCTTAAGGACGAATGCTTTCGTTACGGGGTTTCGAATTTTCTATCCCCTATATTATATGAGTCTTGTTATATAATTTGACTCAGACAAAATTTGGTGAATGTTGTTTGCTGAGGGATGGAAACATATATATGTCTATGGACCACGGTTTTATGTTTTCCTTTTTCTTGTGCAATATAATGAACTGTCTATTCGATTCCTTGAAGCAATCCTTCCACACATCGATATCTTATATATTTGGCCTTTAAATTGATTGTTGTATTGTCTTCCTTGTCCTGGACCCCCTGAATCTAATCAGCTATATATTCAGATAACAGGGTAGCTGAATGTTTTGCTCGCAACTTGGTTGCAAATTCAAAGCGATCACCCCTCACTTGCATGAACGCCGTTAATGTAACTTGGACCACTAGATGCTAGCGGGAAAGGGAGAGTACACTGTACACCTTCTTCACTGGGCTATCTCTAGACTGTGCTGTTAGAGAAATCCATCAACCGTAACAACCTGTTTGGATTGACAAAAAAGTAAGGAATTGGAATTCCATTTCCAATTCCATTTCCATATATTATGTTTGGAATAATAAAAAAGATTGAGAATTGAATTCCAATGGGTCTAAAATATGGGAATTACAATTCCTATAAAAAGTGATAGGAATTGAGAGAATGAAGATGGAATTAGTGGGACCCATCAATACTTTTTTATTATTTTGTTGACCCACTATCATTTTACTCTCTTTCTCTCTCATTCATATTTCATTTCCCAAAATAAAACAAACATATTACATTATTCATTATGGTTAAAAGTGCAATTCATTTCCATAGTTGTAGGAATTAACCAAACACTGGAATTGGAAATGGAATTCTATAAAAATAAAAAATTGAATTCCATTTCCATTTCCATTTCTTCCGGAATTGTATCCAAACAGGCTGTAAATCATCGCACGAAACAGTAGTAAACGGCAGGCTACCAAGTGAGCAGTGAGCTGAGCTAAGCTAAGCTAAGCAACCTTCTTTATCTTAGGATCCAAGCTCGGACATCGTTTAGGCCCAAACGGGAGCAAGCATGGCCCCGTATGATATGACTCTAGGCAAGGCATAACGGGCCTTTTTGAAGGCCCAAATCGAGTGTTAGCTAAAAGATAGCACACGATGACTTGACTACTATGAAAGAAAGGTTACAGCTTGATAAAGTATTACTAGCGGCTAACTAATACTAAAACCGTTATGTTACTTAAGGAAATGGAAATAATTACCCAAAAAAAAAAAAACTAGCTCGGAGAGGGACACCAAAAAAAAAAAATATATATCGTGACAATATCGTAGATTAGTCTAATACGTAAAAAAAATATCAACTAACTTTAGATATCGTTACAATATCGTAGATTAGTCTAGTACGTAAAGAATTCAACTCGCTTTGGATTCGAATTTTGAAGTCAACATCAAGTTCCGCGGCAGCAGCTAGCTAACCATGATTGGACTAGGTTATAGCTAGCTAGGAAAAGAAGCCGGAGTTGTCGAACGTGAAGGTCGTCTGATCGTCAAACAAGTGGTCCATGTTGCCAAACGGGAAGTCAACCGATCCAACCGTCGCCGGCGGAGCGGCTGCAGCCGTTGTACTCTGCTCTCCCCCGTAGCTAATATTAGTGTTGTTGTCACTAGTAGTAATTACCTGCGGCGGAGGAAAGAACAAGCTTCCGGCGAAAGTGGTAGCCGCGGTGGCGGTGGTTGGGGGAGAGCAGTCGAACTCCGAGCCGTCGTCGGTTACCACGACGTTGAGTCCTCTACGGAAGTTGAGGAGCAGCTGCTCGTGTTGACGGTCCTTTGCTGATGCCGCCGCCGGCGGCATGGCTGGTTCGGATGGTCGAGGAGAGATGTTATTTGGCGCCGGAGATGATGACGTGGATGGTGATTGTGATTGGGTGCAGGTGTGCCTTCCTCTGTACGTAATCTCGAATACGGTGGAGTCGTCGTCGGACCTCTGGACTTGCTTTGTGGCCAGGCAGCCTTGCACGTTTCGCAGCGTACACCTGTAATACCCTCTGCCATCCATCCACCAACCAATAATAACATTATTATTATTATTAATCTCGTGAATTCGGATCTTAATATGAAATATTTAAGAGCGGTTTGGAAGCTGCTGCGATTGTTAGATGAATGTATTGTTGTGAATGTATGTATTAACATTATACATGCATTGTGAAATTTGATGCACATACTATATATACAATATTACAATATAACCTTTAGTATATGTGATTGTGTTATGTCACATCAGCTAAAAGCTAAGACAAATAATTTCAACTCAACTATCTTTCTCAGCAATCTCACCTAAAAGTTGAGATATAATAATTACTCATTTTAAGTGATAGTTTCTACCAAATCACATAAACATTACATGTAATGTTTCTGCTAAAAAATAATAATTAAAAAACGATATTTTCTAAACAATAGATGTATAGTAACAATATCAACAAAACAATCGCAATTTTCAGACAACATTTTACGTAAATAAAAAAATGGATGAAAAGTGGGCTAGAAATTAGAATGTATATGTCTAAAGTACCTAGGGTATTTGGCGCCGAGGATGTCCTTCTGGCCGTATTTTCTCCAGCTGAAGCCGTCGTCAAGTGGGCCTTCAAGGCCCATCCCTGGGCCCACTCTCACCTGATGCGTCCACCTCGGAATGCTCTTCCTGCAGTTTCATTAATTTGGAAATTTTCCCCAAATTAGTTCCATTTCAAATATAAATAAAAATTAAAAACACTATAATAGATTAATAATAATGAACAGCAAATCAGTCTATAGATAGGGATTAGAGAGTCAAGCAGCACATGTACTTAGTTACTACATTAATTAAGGAGAAGAGCAAGTGGCATGGTTAAATATTAATTAAGTATGAACATTGAAATTTATGGTTGCATTCTATGCTCTCTTAATTATTTATTATGATATTGTATTTGTAAGTCAAAGTAGATTTAGACAGATTGCTGCATGCCTATACCTTTTCCTAGAAGAAGAGGTGGTGTCTTTGAAGAGGTCGTGGTCAGAGTCCTCGCTCCCCGGACTCCCGCTCCTGGTCCCCGGCGGCGACGACTCCGACGACTTCATCGTCATCATCACCACCGTCCCAATGTCCCCGTCGTCACGATGGCTCGGGCAGTGGTGGTGCTGATCAGCTGGCGTCATCTTCCTACTACTGCTGAGCATGGAAAGCGCGTTCTCGTAGGAAGCAAGGATCTTCTGCACCAGCACTTCCCTCGTCGCCGCCTGCTCCGATGACGAGGGCTGCGGGGGGGTGAAGCTGAGGATGAGCTGGAGCTGTTTCGCCACGTCCCTCCCCGCCGTCAGCTCCGCCGCCAGGCTGCCCCACTTGTGCTCCCACTCCGATGACGACGCCGCATGGTGGTGATGATGATGAGCCATTTGTAACTTGATTACTCTAAGCTTAATCAATGGGGTTTAGTGGCATGAATGTTAATGCATGTGTGTGTATTTATATAAGTAAGCAAGGAGGAGGGAGGGAAGGGAAGAATAGAATTGTTTGACCGAGGAAAAAAGAGGCAAGCTGGGTAACCTAACCACCAAAAGACACGTAATAATTATAAGGAAAGCTATGTGACTCTGACTGACTGTAAGAGGTATGACCGCGCTAAGCAGCGTGTAACGGAATGAGGAGTTGGAAGAAAGGAAGAAAGTCCAATTGCTGACCATTTCTTCCCCAAAAAAAAAAAAACCCCACACTTCTTTTCCTTAACTCTGGTTAATAATTTAATCAATTACTTATAATGGTAGTCGTCAAGTGTCTACATATGTGTAGTCCATGAGATGGTACATGGTACGATTCCTTTAATATTTAATTAGTTTTGTTTCCATATTGTAACAAAAGTACGAAACTAAATTGGTTGCACTGTAAAACGTAATTCCCAATTGGGATAAATCCTTAAATTGATCTATTTTCTTGTCGAGTCTTATTCGATCTTTTCCCCAGCAACTGAAGAAGCAGTCCTGTGTCCCAGCATCGATTTTCCCTGCAACTGAGACTGACTTAAGAGTTTGTAGACAACTAATATATTTTGTTGTTGTTTAAGAATATGAAAATGTGTCGTGGACTCGTGATTGTTTATGAAAATAATTATTGTATTAATTGGTTATTATTAATTATATTTATATCTTGGAACGAGGACACGTGTAGGCTTAATTCCCCGACTCTGCTACTGCATATTAATCCAGAAATATGAATCAAGCGTGATAAAAAAAAAATGATGTAAAAAAGGGATTTGAACTAATGGGGTTTAGACTTTAGAGTATTGCGAAAATGCTCCATTTCTCGTATTTATTGTACATTTTACATGTAAGTGTAATTCGAAAATTGAGAGAAAAACAACGATCTCCTCTCACTCGATCGTGTGTAGCTCTGATTCCTCAGTTTTTCCATATTGAGTTAGATTATGGTATGGCAATCATAGTAGACTAATCCAAACTAACATTTGCAATCTATATGATTGTGGCTTGATACAAAAAACTTAGGCATACGTTGATTTCCTTTTGTTGGGTAAAAGAAGAGGCAGAATTATAAATTATGTATACTTTGAAGTCAAAGCCAGATGGAGGTAGAGACCAGAGAAGAATCGTTGTACTGGATATTAATTATTGTTATTATTATTAATTATTAAAGATTAATTACTAAGAGGAAATCTCATCAAGTGGGCTTGTAAGTGACATGATAGTGACGTCCGCAGTGCTGGGTTGGGGTTACGTATGCAAATGCCCCCACGAAATAGGTGATTAGAAGTTAGAACAGTAATTAATTAGCGTAATTTGTGGTTTACTCGCATGTGATACTACTAGCTAGGGTAGGGATGACAATGGGTCGGGTTGGGGCAGATTTTGCCAAATCCATGGGTTTATCCGCTAAAAAAATTCGGGGTAAAACCTGTTGGGTTTGAAAAACTCAAACCCAACCCAACCGGCTGGATATCCGCGGGTTCATGGGTACCCGTGGATTTTTGTGTAAAAAATTTTCAATAACAAGTTTCTTTCAAAATAAAAGTCTAACATAAATTTTATCATACAAATTATTCATACAAAAAACACCAATCTAAAGCATACAAGCAGACCGAAAATTATCAATACAAAATTATTTAAATTAAAGGTAAACATCTATAAAATAACATGATTAAGCTTCTTCCTCCTTGCCAATTAAAGCTTCTTCACTCTCCACTCCATAATATCAACTCCATTCTACAAAATTAGGAAGAACAAATTAAACATGTCTCCACAAACATAAAGAAGATTAGTTGTTTAAGGAGGATATATTATTTAGAATATTAAATATACCGGAAAAATTAATTATATGGATGTGAGCGGGTATACCTAAACCCAACCCGTCAATAGTGTAGCGGGTTTAAACCCGAACCCGACCCAAAACCCCTCAATACGGATTTTACCCGTTTTGACCGGGTTTGGTCGGGTAGGGTACCCATGGGTTCGGGTTTTGTTGCCATCCCTACTACTGGCATGGCGTGGCGCATGATCTACTTCCTAAAATGCACACACAAGAAGCATAATTTAGAGTACACATACCCTAACCAGGAGAACAACATTAGATCATGAATTAATCGGAGTTAAGATCGTATGGTATTTTATCCTAAACTTTAAGGATTAAAACCTATGTCATAATTCTCTAAATAGTAAATATTACATCCTAAGATCGATATAATTAGAAACAATAATCGATAGTTCTGGTTCGTTAAAACACAACCAGCGTACAAGATGTACTATTTTACGACTTATAGGTTAGAATTTAGAGCATTAATTAGGATCTAGGGTTCACTTATCAAGATTTAAGGGCTAGGGTTATAGTACTGTAGTTCAAAATCTAAATAACATTTTCTTACTAAATCTATATACGGTAAGTACGACATGTGACCCAACTAAAAGAATGAATAACAAAAAAAAAAAAAAAGCTCATTGCGTACCATGAGACCAGAATATACACATTTGTTTCAATAATTTTTCTTCGAGTTGTGTCGATATCTAGTCTTAATTATGTTACAACCAAGTGGTTACTTCGGATCCCATCAGAATGAACTTAAATTATAATTGTTTTGTAAATTTAGTCAAACCAACTTTCGAGGATTTGAACTGTTGGGTGGGTCGGAGAGGCGGACTGCCCAGTGAAGGAAATTTACAGACACAGAAGCCAATTAAGTACCCAAAGAACTAATCACAATTTGCAATAATTAAAGATTGATTGAGAGAGAGAGAGAGAGAGAGAGAGAGAGAGAGAGAGAGAGAGAGAGGGGGGGGGGGGCAGAACAAGTGGGTTTATAGCCCTGTTGCATTCTATATAACCATATCAACTTGGGTTTGATCATATTTAACCACAACTTTATTAGTTCTAATTAAACCACGTACATTAGTTCTAGTGAGATAGTTGGCCAAATGCATTGCACTAATCATAGTTTACTCTGCATTATTACGTGTAGTTTAAGGGGGTAAATGTATTATTGTTATTATTATAGTATAACGAAAGGGGGGTTTCCCAAGATTAAGATTTGGTTTTTGACGAGTTTCCAAGTCTGAGATTTGAACAAAGGAAACACACCGGCATTTTCCCATTGCATGGGCCGATCGAGACCGTTTAAGTGTAAAAGGCGTCAAATGTATAGGAAGAAAAATATAAAAGAGAAGAGGAATATATCTTTGCATTTAAGTGCCCTACTAACGCTCTTAATTAGCTACTTTTGCGGTGAAGATTGAGATGTTATTTGATTCTATGAATATTGGAAGAGTTTCCACATGCAATGTAACTGCGGATATATCTTTTTTATCGGCATCCGTCTATCTTGCTTACGATAACGAATCATGAAAGTTATATAACCTTCACGAGTTGAAATTTAGTATAAACATATAGAACGTCGAAAGGTTTGTATTTTTTTTACATTTTGAAAATCAAACACATACATACATGTCTCGTTTTGAACATTTTTCGTTCGCTGGTGGTACTAATCTTCGAGAAAAACTAGGTACTCTATTTGGGTGCCTAATGTCTGGCTGCACACTTGAAGCGTCTTAGGGTGCGTTTGGATAAGTGTATTTTAAATGTAAGGTATTTGAAATACTAGCATTTGAAATGGATGTATTTGAAGTATTAGCATTTGAAATACATGTAATTCAAATTCATTGTTTGGATACTCATTTGTAATTTGTTTGTATTTTTGTATTTATGATTTTCAATTTCAATTTTTAATTTTCTGGTCACTTACTACAAATTTTGGTAAATTACAGTTTGGTACCCAAAATTATTTTTCTTACAATTTAGTACCTAAACTTTTAAATTTTTACAAAAAGGTCCTGAAATTTTGATGGTAAAATTACATTTTGGTACCTTTATATGTTTTGCCTCACACTATAGTACCTAAACTTTTCATAGTTTACAAATAGGTCCATTCTTTTGTTAGGAGATATTTCAAATCACTAGTTGTTGAAATGTATTTGAAGTTGACAAAAAATACACTAGATATGTATTTGGAAATCACCCCATGAATTTGATACAAATCCAAATACCAAATGTAATTAATATCCAAACACATGATTTGGTATTTGAAAATCCAAATCACAAATACCAAATCCAAATCCTTGTATCCAAACGCACCCTTATATACTTTAGCTAGGTCAAGTAGCTATTCATCCAAATACTTGTTGTGCATGGCTGATGCCCAATCGAGTATCTAGACGACAGCTAAACGCTTTTATATTTGATGTGTAATCTCGGGTACTTAGTTTGACCGGAAGATATCGACACATGCATGATGTCCTATCATGCCAATATTTGGTGCTTGCAAATGGCTCATCTATACGTATTCAAAACCATAACATAAAAGTTGTTGATGTATTTAGTATTATACCAAGTACTGATGAAGAGAAAAGGGTGAATCGTTCAAACTAACTACATATATATGTATGTTGAATTCAATAGCGTGTAATGCCCAACAGAAGTCCCTTTTTTCAAGTACTTTTCTCTCACGTTTATGAAACAAAGACGACGCTAATTACTCCTTTTAGAGAGAAAGAGAGAGAGATCGAGAGACCCGTTCAAAAGTTGGAATATGGGTTTTGCCAAAAACCGACTTGTCGTTGTTGCTGTTGCTGCATGGCCCCCTCTCTCCCTCCACCGCGCGTTGTGTTTGAAAAGTCGTTATATAACTGATCCCCCGAATGGGGAGCTAAAAAAACGAACACTGCCCAGAAAAAGCGCGGCAAAAAGGAAGCAAGTATAAAAACGGCGGTCTTTCAATTCGTCGTATTGCGGCTGCATGTATCGAGTATTATTAACAATGTTTTCCGATGTATCTGTGCCTGCGAACAGTGAAACATCTCATCTGGACTGATCTCGTCGCCGCTCCCAGCTGCCGACCAAAAAGTGTGGACCGATTGACATTATTATTGTTAAGCGCGTTAAGAGAGAAGACCTCATTTTGGTGGTTGATTTAAGTGCTCGCACTAGTTATTTCCATGCATTTTCTATGACTTGGGTAGAGTTTGATGATGCGGAATAACAAGAGAACACGAGACAAACGATGTTGCGCGGTTACTTAAACCGTGTTAGTATTGGGCTTTGTTGGGCCTCGTCTGATTCGCTGGATTAGGGTTTTAACCCTAAGTTTATCTATATAAGCTTAGGGCCTGTTTACTTTCATTTCTGTTTCTTGTTTTTGAGAAAACAGATTTTGGAAACAGGTGAAAACAACATTTTGTCGTTTCCGAAAACAGCAGGAAGTTGCCATTTTCTGTTTTCATAGTTGGAAACGAATAGAAAACCAAATAAAAAGTAAACAAGTTTTCTCGTTTGGGTTGCCAAATTTATGACATGAAAACAGAAAACAGGAAACGAAAATGGAAGTGAACAGTGCCTTAGCTATCGACTTGTGTGATAGCAAGCCGCCAAGATGTAAATCCTAATAAGAGATCAGTCGTGAGCTCTTATGAGCTCACCGTGGATTAGTCTCGATCAATCGATCGAGGATACCACGTAAAAATCGTTTGTCTCGTGTTCTTGTTATTCCGCATCATCAAAAATTTGACATGGTATATCAGAACTGGTTTGGCCAAGTGGTCGTGTGTTCGAATCTCCACGACCCCCAATATTAACAGTTGTCTTCAAGCACATGGCATGACGGGCCCATGAGTCGGCTTTCGTTTGAGGAGGCTTGTTAGAGAGTGGTATAAGATCCAACATAACCTTCTTCCAACAACTCGAGTTATTGGGACCAACTGGTTTATGACAACTTTGCGGTCGGTCGGTCATGCTGGCAACGTTACCTCGTCTTCGATGCAGGAATTCGTACTTATGGTTAATCGTTTGTGATGGTACTGTAAATGTTTAGGTCTCCGTGATCTCGTCATGAAACTATATCAGTTGTAATTATATCATAAGAACTAGTTTTTGTAAGAATACGGAAACCAATAGAATAAGGAACTATAGAAAATCTGTGATCAGTATGGGCTCTTACGAAACACGAGTCTCAGCTATATAGCCCGATCACAAGAGCTCGTTTTACACTTTTGGCCCAGCCCAACCGAAACTTTTTGGCCCATATATGTATAAATAAATTATTAATTCTGGCTACCAGGAGGAAACGTAAAACGCAGCGGACCACCACAAACAAACGGGCCTGGGGCCCACATAGGGAAGCCTTTTTGTCATTACGCCTCCAGTGCAAGCCACCCACGTGGAGCCTCGGTTAACCACAATCCTCCCTGGCAATAATATCCGTTCTTGCTCCTCCGCTCTCCACGTCATCACTTCCGTTTCCCGCCTTTTCATGTACAGTTTTGTACGCATCGACCACCGTCCGATCCCTCTGTTCCCCTTCTCCCCTCCGTCGATTGCCTCCAGTGGACACCATAATTTCCCATTTTCTTTTATTTTTTGGTAGAAATAATTTCCCATTTTCAAATGAACCATAACAAATAAATTTTCCAACAAAAAAATTTCAGATTCTTACATTTCCTCTGCCCTCAGTTCTGTGCCGAACAAACGCCTGAAACAGAATCGCGACGGAATCTTCTCTAAATCCATCTGGGGTTCTTCTGCTTGATCAGGCTGGTAAGATTCTGATCTTGTGTAGCCTATTGTTTTACCTTGTTAGTGATTGAGCCCTACTACGGTGTTTATGCTGATTTTGATGAAATTGTTTCCTTCTTCTTTATCAATTTGGTGAAGTGGGCGAATTGGGTTTTCGGAGGAACTCGGAAAAGATTGATTCTTTGGGCGCGATCATGGGAGTTGTGACTGTTTCTAGCTCAGCTTCCAGGAACCCAGTAGGGTTAACCGCAAGGGTTTCGAGCAACGGATCGAATTCATGGCGGCCACTGATCGTGGCGTTCAAGTCGGACAAATCGGATAGCACTTCTCTAGTCTCGCCTAGCGACAGTACTCATCTGCAACTGTCGGTGAAATCTTCCAATAAGGTCAAGAAGGGGCGGCCGAAGAAAGGGGATAGAGTAGTATCATCTGTGCCTAAATTGGATGTGGACTACAACGAGGCCGCGGCGAAGTTGGAGAGCATATACAAGCTGAGCCCTCCATCAGATGGCGAGGATGACGATGTAGTTGTGACTAGAGATAGGCAGAGGAAGAGGAAGAGTCGCGATGGGGCGGTGAAAACTAGTAGAGTGGTTGTTAGGAATCGGGTGAAGAAGGCGAAAAGGTTGAGTCTTGATAAGAGGGTAGCACTCAAGAAGAATCATGTGAAGCAAGAAGAGTGTAGAGAAGAAGAGGAGAGAGTTGTTGTTGGTTCATTAGCTAGTAAGAAGAGAGTTAGGAAGGATGAGAGCGAGAAGATTGATGAACTCGTGAGGCAGTACACTGGTTCGACTGATTTGGCTAGCTTGGACTGGAAGAAGATGAAGTTTCCACCGGTTCTTCCTTCCTCCGAGCACAACTGGTTGTTCAAGTTGATGCAACCTACGAAGGTAGGGTGTCTTGAAAAATTCGGCTAGAATGGCTTGTTCTCTAATGAGTAGTAAATGTGAGCTTAGAATTGATTGTATTTTGCTTTGAAGGCTCTTATTCAGGTTAAAGATGATCTGCACAAGACTTTGGGGAGGGAGCCGATTGATGGAGAATTGGCACAGGCGACGAACTCGACTGTGGTTGATGTTAGAAGACAGTTGGAGGTTGGCAGAGCTGCTAGAAACAAGCTCATCAAGGTATATACTTTTTAAGATTATAGAATTGCTTTGATGGATATGTCGAGAAAATGCGCTGATGGTTCTTTTGTATGTGTTGCAGCATAATCTCCGTTTGGTGTTGTTCGTGATCAACAAATACTTTTCGGACTTTGCGAGCAGCCCGAGATTTCAAGACCTGTGTCAGGCTGGAGTGAAGGGACTAATCACTGCAATCGATCGGTTTGAGCCCAAGAGGAAGTTCCGGCTATCTACCTACAGTCTTTTTTGGATAAGGCATGCCATAATTCGGTCCATGACTCTCTCTAGCTTTACCCGTGTCTCATTTGGCCTCGAATCGGTATGCTTTGAGTATTCATTTATGCTTGATCGCTTCCCTGGCTCCATAGACTGGACTTGACATATCGTATTCTGCAGATAAGAGTGGAGATTCAGAAGACTAGGCTCCACTTGCTGGTGGAGCTGCAACGAGAGCCAACCGAGGAAGAGATCGTTGAACGGGTTGGGATCTCCCACGAGAGATATCATGAAGTGATGAAAGCAGCCAAACCAATCTTGTCTCTTCACATGAGGAATGCCACAACTCAGGAAGAGTTGATCAGTGGAATCACAGATGTGGATGGTGGTGACAACCAAAGGCAACCAGCTCTTCTTAGGCTTGCTCTTGACGACGTGGTATGTTGAGTTTGACTTGATAAATCAGTGGTCATATAAGAATAACCTTTCATTCTCATTAAAAGCTTAACCCATGTCCGGAATTCCTGTAAATGTGCAGCTGGACTCACTGAAGCCGAAAGAGAGCTTGGTGATCAGGCAAAGATATGGGCTGGACGGCAAAGGTGATAGAACACTAGGCGAGATTGCTGCTAACTTAAACATCTCGAGAGAAATGGTCCGTAAGCATGAAGTCAAGGCGCTCATGAAGCTCAAGCACCCTGCTAGAATGGATTACCTTCGTCCATATGTTGTCTGAACATTCATCTTCTTTCAAAGGTTCGGCTCTAACTACTCAAACCGTTCCTCCATACCCTTTCCCTTCCTTGTATATTCATGATCTGTACCATATATAGCCTACGTGTACTATACAGTATACCGGTATAGATGAAAGTTACAGTCACTCCACACGAATCCTCCTATATCAAGTTTTGTTTTTCGATCATGTAAATGTATCTTAAAGGAACCTCATGTGTCAATGGATCTGAGCATATACAAGTTTTGTTATGTCTGCGCGATCAATTAGAAAAGGAAGACGATTGCGTTGACAGCATTACAGCATGGCCGCATCTGAATATGAATCATTAGCCATAAACTGCTAAACAGGGTTCGCAGAAAACCCAGAAACGATTGATAGGGTAACCAAGAAGCTAAAACTAAGCCACGAAACTACATTTTCCAATGAGCCTGCTGCTAAGCTTTCATTCTTTCATGTTTGTATCAAACGTTTCTCTCTCTGCAGAAGCCCATCCACGGTTTTTCATGATCCAAAACCTCTCAATTTCCTCTGCCGTTCGCCCTGGAATTCGTCCAGCAATCAAATCCCACCTGCAAAATATAAAACAGTAACCTCCTGCATCAGTCTTCTTCACCAACATAATGATATGTTAAGGTGCTTAGTTTTGTTGTTAAGTTACCTTTGACCCACGAGCCGGTACATTCTGGAGATGAGATCTTCTTCTTGTTCATTCATTCTTACCACCTCCCATTCACGGCTGCTAACCTCTGCAAACCAGAAGGAAACAATAAGGACAACTGAGAAGGTCAAAATATCATTGTTTTAACAAGGAAGAAGAATGAAACCTTGAGAGGCAGAGCTGGTGCTACTTCTGCCTTTGCCTGCCTTAGACCGGCTCCCACGACCCATAGCCCGGTTTCTTCCCTCCCTGTGCTTTCTTAGGAGTTAGGAGAAACACCAGAATGAGTAGATGGTGGATTGAGCTTTCTGGGTTATATGGTGTGATGAACCCCCCAACCAACCTGCGGAAATGGAATGGCTGCTTGCTTGGTCTGTTGACTCGTAGGCCTATTGTTGGACTTTCAGTTAGTTTGATGACAAAAACACAACAACATACAGACAAAAGGAACAGAAGAAAAAAGAAAAGAACAAAGACAAATCTCCCACAATTCCCAAAGGAATAAAAAGGAAAAGACAACCAACAATTAGTAATTTAGTATGTCCATGTTCAAAGAGCTCACAGTTTCCAGATATCTTAATATTCGGCTTTGGTTTCAGTATGAGAAGTTGTAAAAGTGAACAAGTTATGAAAGTATGTACTATGTAGTAAATCATTGGGAAAGAGCCCACAAGTTCTGAACTTTTATTAGAAATGAAACAAGCAATTCATTTGGCGAGGCCAACATTTGGTGCACCTTTGAATCTCTGTCCCCATAAAAAACAGTTACAACTTTACACAAAGAGAATGAAAAATTGTCTTTACTATTATATTGCAAATACTAAGCAAAGGTGCAATTAGCTGAGTAGCTATTGGACAATATATAAACTTCAAACATCCATTTAACACCACAAGCCAGAATCCAGTTAAACAAAAAGGTTAAGGGAGACAGCATTCATCTACCAAAGCCTATCTCAAGCTAGAAAACCCATTAATTTTTTTGAAGCTTTCTAATCCCTCACCTAACCCACAAAACTAAAACTTGGGTACTATTCTATATCAGTTCCTTCACAACATATCCTACCCAGAAGCACCAAAATCACAACCCATTAGCATCCATTAATTTAGCTTAAACAAAAGCCATAAGGGGACCTCTCCGGCTCTAATCCAAGAGATATGGTTTCCTAACAATGATATTGTGTTAGAAAAGGAAATCTGGACATGCCAATATGCCTCAGATTGTTAGGGACTAACCAGGAAACATTCTTGTTCGCACGTGACGCTTTTTCGTCTTGTCATCTGCAACTTGAGCTTTCGTATTATCACCTTCTGGCTTCTCCTGCAAGCAAAGAGATATTGGCAAGAGAATAACAAACTAGAACTGATAACATTGATAAGGGTCGATCAGGTTATGCTACTGTCAGCCGGTAGAGAAGGGACTTACTGATTGACATGTCACTTACAATATTGGAACTGTGTGGTTCATCGTACTTCCTTCTTCGAGATTCTGATTCTTCAATCACAAGTAGAAGATCAGCTGTACCTGGTGGTTTTTTTTTTTTTTTTGTCATGAACATATTCCCATCTGGCTGGGAACAGAACTCTAGCATGTCTGGCACTTGCTAAACACTTCAAACAAAATTACCATCAGCTCAACTGTTCTTCTTAAGGGCAACTTGATTGCAAAACTAGATGAAACAGTAGACAGTCATACAATGTAAAGCTCCATCACTGTGACAGATATGACAGGAGAATGAGAAACCAATTCTAGGAGGATGTTAGCCTTAGAAATAGAATAGACCGAATTTCAATATCACAAGTTCACAACAGACCAGGTGGTTCCTTTTTTATCACACAAAACATTGTTGACCAGTGGAAGTCTCCTGGAGCCAATTTGGACAAAAATTTGGCAGCTCACAGGCAAAAACTCTATAACTACCCTTTTCACCATTTCATTTCATGAAGAATGCTAATAGACTGAGATTGCCTGCTATGACATCTTTTTCAAATAATTCTTGTCCTAACCTGAAGGGACACCACTAAAACCACCATTGCCTGGAAAAGTGCAGAAGGAAGATGTTCTTCTTATTTATATGCTATCATAAAGCCAGGCACACAAATCCATCTGCCTCATAGTGATATCAGTACCAATCCATAGCAACCACAAATTTGTTTCAGACACTAAGAGTTGCAGGCAACAAAATAATTCAGTTGAAGAAAGGCTCATAACCCTTTTGCACAAACTGCATAGTGGAGGTGATGTGGTTTTTTCTCCCACTTACAGTGGAAACCAGAACAGCAAACTATTCCTTAGTTGCCATTCCTCAAAAAATCATTACTGCCACCAACTTAATTCCATTGAAACTTTGCATGCTGGACAATTTACATCCGCAAACTCATAAAGCGGTCAAAAGTTGAGAAAATACAGATAGCAATTTCCATTCCTTTCTGAACTTGGCTTAACAATTCCTCTGTAAACATACCTGCCATAATCGATATGTTAACCTTCAATGGATTAATCAGATACCAAGCCACTCTTCATCGAAATCCCATGAACAGCCATCCCTGAACTCGAAGCGCCAAGCTTACCACAAACTCTTATTACACAGTGCAAAAAAAAGTGAACGTCTTTGGCACCACTTCTCACCCACTGCCACTGGTAGTCTGAACTGAAACAAGCGAAGAATCCATCTCATACCCTAAAATCAACGCACACAGTCCAAGAAACCATCTCGTGAGCCCGCAAAAAAAAATGGGCTTGTTAGATTGGGCCACTTCTCCATCTTGGACATATCATCCTAAGGCGTTGGGCTCATCGATCATGAACCCGGAAGGACAGAGGCCAGGCAGGTTCGAAGTTCGAACTGGGATTTTTTTATTTTTGTTGCTGCTTGGGTAGGAATTGGCTATGTTGTTAGGATTTTGGTTGTTGAATAACGTTAGACGCATGAACATCTTACTCCAAAACTGTAAGATAAAGAGATTGAAATTGTAATACTAGTGGCCGGCAAAATGCGCCCACCATCATCACAACCTTGACATTCTCCACCTAACACTGACTCCCACTCCCCCATCCTTCTTGTTTTATACCCAAAAGGAAGGGCAAACAAATCCCTTCCATCCCCCATTCCTTCCTTTCATTTCTCTGTCGCCCACTCTCCTCCAAAAAGAAGTTAGGCCGCCACCGTCATCCTGCCCGCCGCAGAAGCTAATTCGTCACCGCCGCCAGCTGATCAAGAAATGGTGTCCGACAGAGAGGTGGAGATAATTCATTCTAAGAGGTCGCCGAGAAATGAACGCCGGCGACGGAACCTCGAAAGGTGGGTGGGTACCGCTGCGAAGTGCTCGGTCCCGGGATCGACATACAATTGGCGGGATAGAAATCAGAGCTCAAACGATCAAGTTACGGAGGAAATCTAAGATGAACATCGACGCCGAATCCGCAACAACTGTATTGCAAGAGCTTGGTAAGTTTGGAGGTAATCGCTTTGTTTATTTAAGCAATTAATGGCAGTTTGGTAATAACAACGACAGTCGAGGGCAATTTAGTCATGTATGGCATCATGGGCGGAATGGAAATTATGTTTCAATAAGCATGTGATTGCATTGCATCATGAAATTATGTTTTAAAGCAAGCTAATACAAGTTATGTTTTAAGCAAACTAATACTTTGGATCTTTACATTGTGTGGAAGATCCGCAAATTGTTATATATGCAAGTATAACTTAAATATAACATAATTATACTTTAGTATAACTTAAGTATATCACCCTTATCAAAAAAAAGTATAACTTAATGAAATCTCTTCTTGATGTGAGAGATTAATTAAGGCAGGTATGTTTAAACCACCAAGTTAAGCAAGGACAACAAGTAATTAATAAGAACAAGTTAACTTCGCTTAGCTAGCCATTTTCAACTTAGGGAAAACAAATATCTCTATATAAACATGATTTAATTGAATGAAGAGCTGCAGTGGTGATTATTATTAATTTTTGTTATTGTTCCAAATTTACAACATGTAATCTAATGAATGTGCAGAGACAAGTGATGCGAACAAAAAGCGTGGAATTCATGTCATTCCACTTGTAGGTCAATCTAGTGCCAAATTGTGTTGTTAGCTTGATTGCAAATGGGGTTACTGTTAGGTGTGGTATTAGAGAAATTTTACAATGTTATATAGCATTGGTGCTATAGGGTTTTGCTTTTATGGTACAACTTAAAATTGTACATTTACGTTATGGTACAACTTCATATTGTACCTATACTTTTTGTACAAATTCTTTTATGGTACAGCTTGAACTTGTACCTTTATGTGATGGTACAACTTCAAGTTGTAAAGTTGTACCATAACATAATGGTACAAATTGCTTTATGGTACAACCTAAACTTATACATTTAATGTTATGGTATAATTTTAAGTTGTACATTAAAGCACCAATACTATATAGCATAGTAGAAGTGCTCGTGGTATTAATCCGTCTAATACGACAAACAACTAAGTCATCAACAGGCCCAAGCCCATTGATACGCCTAGAAATACACATATTTATTCTCACATTTAAGTATCCAACTAGCTTGTAAAACAAAATAAGTTCAGTTGTTTTCCAGTTTTACGCTTGGTTTTGTGTGTTTTGATGTTTCAGGATATTCAGAGACATGTAGGAGAGAAAATGGTCAACTCGTCTCAAATCAGCATTGAAAATGAGAAATGACTGATCGAAGTTGTAAAAGAATGAAGTACGTATGCATGGTATTGAGTGTGGGCACGAAAGCAAGTTGACCTTTTGAGTTGTTTGTACCCGAGAAAGCAAGCTGCTCAAGATAAGCAAGTATCCGCCACAAATGAAAGAATGCAAGCAAGCAACTTAATTTAATGGACAAGCAAGCAAGTAATTTTGTCCATGGAATGGTAACGCTCGAGAAGCAAGTAGCTGAATTAAAAGGAAGCTAGCAGCTGGAAGACGTGGCACGTCTTCTCCACAAGCATGCAGCTCAAGCAGGCTGGTCCAAATTGGAAAAGCAAGCTGGTCCATTATTGTAAGCTAGCAGCTCAATTATACGGGACTTCCAAGCAAGCAGGGTGCTGAAGCTAGCAGCTCTCCTTGTGGCCATTAATTTGCTGCGGTGAGGTGGGAAAATGGAAGCTAGCTGGTGAATTTGTAGGCCACGTCTCCTCCTCAAGCAACTAGCTCAAGCAAGCAGCTGTTAGGTGCAGCAATTTAAGACAACCAACTGTTCATTTATTTGAACTAGCTAGCTTGCTCTATAAATAGCAACGTACAGAGGCAAAATAGGGAGGGGTTTGGGACGATAGAATCCTTTCTCTTCTTGTTGTTTCCATTCCATTTCTTCCTTGTCGAAACTCTGCCAAATCTTCGTGGTAATAATTGTGTTTTAATCCAAAGTCATATGCTTCATACGATAACGGTTCTCATCCTTGAGATTAGCGGTAATACGTTACATTAGTAAATTACCATAAGAAGTTTATTTAACTTCAAGGTGATTTATTGGTATAACGTACTTACTCTATTCTCGTTTCTTCCACTTGGTTTACATTAAGGTTTTGATTATATTTATACTCTTATGCATTTAATTTTCATGCTATTATTATCGTGGGTTAAATAGGGACGGTCTACCGCCTTAATCCCATTTTTACATTTTAAGTGGGGAATTGGTTTATACGATTAACTAGCTCACTTGAGTTAGTTAATTCCTTCCGTATCCCTATATTTATATTTTCGGAGCGGGGTTTTGGTTTATACGATTAGTTAGCTCACTTGAGTTAGCTAAGTCCTTCCGCCCTTTCGTCCAATTTGTGCTATATTTATATTTATGTTTATTTGTGGAAGTGGGGTTAGGTTTATACGATTGGTTATCTCACTTGAGTTAACTATATCTTTCCGCCCTCCATCCGTTTTAATGATGAACTAAAAAAACACGTTGTTTGGAATAGTGGAACCCTCAATGAAATTAAAGACCCCAACTCTTTTAACACAATTTGACTAACGGATTTATGGCAAATTAACATATTTTGCGTTTGTCTATCTTGTTCCCGGATGAGAAGAGAAATCTTCCATTTAGGAAATTGTTGGAAGACAGAGTCATCTAGAAACAGCGCTCCGATTCCTTGATCACCAAATACAAGAACCATTCAGGTAAAATTCATGAGAAATCGGGATTAATTTGTGTGGCCCATCTTGAGTGTAATTTGGGTCTTCATCTATCAACTTTCAATTATTTAATATGACGTGAAAACCGAGATTAGTAATTGGAAGCTGAACGAATTTATTGATAAGAAATTGCATGAATTCAATTTTAGAAATTATAATGGGATGAAATTTGTATTAAAACTTGTTAATTAAATTGAGTTTATTCGGGATGAAACATCGAGGGGGAAACTAATCCAAACAACTTTTCCAAATCATTGTCTTAATTAAATCATTTAATTCGTTTTACATTGGAATATCAATACTTGAGTAAGCAATAGAAAAGACCCTAGGGAAATACGACTCCAGTCAGTTTTACTTTCTGGATTATTTTTGTATGCGCTTTTAGCGACATCAAATTTTGGCGCCGTTGCCGGGGACTTTTCTAGTTGTGTGAAAAAGAATTATTTCCTTGTATTATTTTATTATTTTTCCTACCTTGCTTTTCACGGGTTTTTACTGTTTTTGTTTACCATTCAGGATTCCTTTTATGAATCGACCAAATACCAGATTTTACAAACGAAAACTTGAAGAAGTTGTGTACGAGACAGTGAGCAATCCCTCTGAAGTCGGAGATAGTGAGACAGAATTTGAAGATTATAAGGAGGTGAAGGAAGAAAAGAACATCATGGCAGCCCGTCAAAGAACATTGGGCGATTTCGCTAAACCAAGCGCATCTGGTATTGCCTCCAGCATTACTAGACCACCCATCACAACAGCAAACTTCGAACTACGCCATAGCACAATCCAGATGGTGCAGAACGCCGGTCAGTTCGAAGGAAAGGACGATGACAACCCCGTCCATCATGTACAAGTCTTTCTGGAAATTTGTGACTCCGTCCAACACCAAGGAGTCACAGCAGATGCTATCAGGCTACGACTTTTTCCTTTCTCACTTAGAGGAAGAGCTAAGTCATGGCTTGACTCTCAAGCACCAGGAACCTTCACCACCTGGGACGATCTAGCACAAGCTTTCGTGGAAGAATACTTTCCTCCATGGAAGACAGACGAAATCAAGGAAAGAATATCTCACTTTCGCCAACGAAGTGGAGAACCACTATATGACGCCTGGAGACGATTCCAAGGATTACTTCATTCATGCCCTCACCATGGGTTCGGACAAGAGCAACTTGCCGACATCTTCGGAAAAGGTCTAGATGATGCCACAACAATCCTCATCAACCAAGCAGCAGATGGTGATATTACTCAACTAACAGCTGATGCAGCCATGACACATTATGCGGATATAGCAGCCAAGACAAGAAATTGGGCAAGAAGAACTGCTCCTCGCCCAGTTTCTATAAATAATGTCCAAGAGTCATCTGACTTTCAGACAGCTATGATGCTACAGATGGAGGCAATCACCCAACAACTTTTTGAGTTGAGGACTTCCACAATCTCACCACCAGTAGCTGAAATCTTTGAGTGTGATTGGTGTGATGGAAAAGATCACAACAGTGTAGACTGTCGCAACTTTGGTCGATCTCGCAAAGAAAAGGTTGACTACGTGGGACAGGGGTACCCACAAAATCGTCAAGGAGGGTTCTTCAACAACAACAATCGCCTCAACAACAACAACAACTATCAACACCCAGGCGGAGCACCTGCTCCAGTTATTCGTCCACACTTTGGGCAAAATCCTCCACAACAACCATATCCGAATCAGCGGCCCCAACCCACTTACTATAATCCCAACAAGGATTTTGATAGAAGGCCACAAAATCAAGGCCCACCAGGCTATCAAGCACGACCTCAATATCAGGGTCAAACTAGTGGGGCCTCTAACAACCAAAC